CTCGAGTTCTACTGGCATGTTCAAAGGATAATATAGCCTCCATTCTTCTCTGCCATTCATGAATGATTCTGATTGCACACCCTATTCTCTCTGTAGTGCTGACAATAATTACCAGGAAATGCAATGCCTTCATTCTCCATATTTTCCAGCAAGTGAATGTCTCATCACCTGCAATCCATTTTCTATGTGATGGTTTAGGGGCTTTCTACAGCCAGAGAATGCAGGAAATCTTCCCAACCTAATATCCAAGGGGAGAGTCATCTACTTAGCTCCAAGTGCAATTTACAGTTTGAAAGCTCCTATTCTGGGTCCCGCACGGCTGGTGTAAAAGATATGAAAATCCTAGTTAAAAAATTAATTCACGTGGAACATTTTAGCTTCGCTCGGAGGTCTCTGATGGGGGTGGGGCTGTATTCTGTGGTATTTTGAAAGCCGGGATGATGAGATTTGCGATAAAACCGAGTACAGGACGTGGGATGAACAATGAGCACCAATAATCTTACAAAGAACTTTGTCCGCACATGTGGAAGGAGGGGGTCTCCATGAACGTGGGTAGAAAGGGCAAGGTGGGTGCTGGTTGGGGCTGGGGGCCAGAAGCTAAGCTGCTACACTGTGTCCATCCGAAACTCCTAGGACACTCTTGCTGGTGCGTTCAGGGAAGCTACGCTCACTTTTCCTTCTGACCCATCAGAGTACTTCCGGCAACATAAATTAATCCTTGGAAAAGATACGGCACTGGAAAGAACAAACCCAGAATACACGCACAGGTCCTTACGAGACACAACCGATGGAAACTCAAGTGTCCCGTTGCTCTAAGAGAGTCTCAACTGTCCCTCTCATGGAAGGTGAGAAATGACAGTGCACTGCTTCCTGGCCCCTGGGCACCCCCAAGGCACTGCATGCTCACACAACAGTGTTTAAAGTGCCCAGTGTCCAGTATCATGAGTCAGGGCCCTCAGCACAAAACCACACCGCGACAGCTCTGCTACTTGGTGTTTCTCGTAAACAAAAGACAAATTCTGGCTTCATACAGTCGGGGAAACTTTTCTATTCTGTAGGAAATTCAGCAAAGCAGGGAACTGTCCATAGAAGGAGAGAAAGCGGCATGGACACAGTGTAACATCTACGCAGATGGCCTCTGTAAAGGAAGTAACAGGATACATGATTATCCTGCTACTTTAAATCACGAGATCAGGATAACGGAAAGTGTTTGCTACTGATGCTCAAAAGCATGAGGGGGGGCGGGGAGAAGGGTAGGGAGAATCCTAGTCGGCAAGTCCATCCTGTCGGTGTCTTACCACCCAGACCCTAGGCTGGGGGGCCGGGGGGGGGTGACGTTCATGCTCAGATGCAGAGGGGCCTCCAATGACGTCTTAGAGAAGTTTGTAAAGCTATGCAGGTATTTCAGGGGTGCAGAAGGGACCAGGCTAGAGAAAGGCCCAGAGGTCACTGGATCACAGGGGCCCCCAGCAGGGTTCAGAGGCCAGTGGAAGGACTGGCGAAAAAAAGTGGTGAGTCTCGGGGGTGTCTGGAGACTGGGTGTTTCCAGAGCACAGCTGCTCATTTCAACAAAGCCACTGTTCACTCTGAAATCAGAGTGAGAGAAGGAAACGCTCTCCTGTGTAGGAAACTGGTGGGGATGGAAGGAAGGCGGCTGCTGGCAGGGGCAGAGGTGGGCTCGGGGCTGCTGGAGATGCCTGCTCATCTCTTTTCCTCATCTCAGGATGGGGTAACAGAAGAGTCCTCAAAGAAGAAATACAAGCGGCCAAAAGGCACAAGAACAAGTGCTTGGTGTCACTAATTAGCAGGGAGAGGCAAATCAAAACAACAATGCAATAAGCATCTCATGCCAGAGACTGGCACACATCAACAAAGAAGAGCCAGGCTGGCACAGATGCAGGGAGAAAGGGACTCTCATCACTTTTGGCAGGGACGCTGATTGGGCCAACCCTTCTGGAAAACAATGTGCATTCTAGTTCATTGCAGCACTAGTCACTGTCACTGTCACTGTCACTGTCCTCCCATTGTTCATCGATTTGCTCGAGCAGGCCCAGTAATATCTTCATTGTGAGACTTGTTGTTACTGTGTTTGGCACATCGAATACCTGACGGGTAGCTCGCCAGGCTTTGCAGTGCAGACAAGATACCCTCAGTAGCTTGCCGGGCTCTCCAAGAGGGGTGGAGAAATTGAACCTGGAGGAGGAATTGAACTTGAGTCAGTCATGTCAGCTGCGTGGAAGGCAAATGCCTTGCCCGCTGTGCTATCGCTCCAGTCACAACACTCAGAATCTGGACATAACCCAAATGCCCGGAACAGATGATGGGATAAGGACACTATGGTGAATCTACCCAATGGAATACTACACAGCTGTTAGGAATAATGAGTCATGACATTTTCTCACACATGGATGAACATGGAGAGTAACATGCTGAGTGAAATGAGTCCGAGGGAGAGGGACACACACACACACACACACACACACACACACACAGAGTGTGTGTGTGAATAATACCCGAAGACAGTAGAAACAAGGACCAAGGAGGTCTGGCCCGTGCTAGGAAGCTCGTCACCAGGGGAGGGGAGGGGCGGGGAGGGCAGTGAGGATGGAGAAGGGGCAGCTCTGACAGTGAGAGTTGGAAATGGTCACTCTGGACAAGGGGGTAAGTGATACGCACAATTACCTTTCAGCAGCAACTGGAAACTGCCCTGTCTAAAATGAAAACGGGAGGGAGGGGGAAAACGGGGCACATTGGTGGTGGGAAACATACTCTGGTGTGGGGCAGTGTTGGAACATGGTATGACTGAAACTCAAGTCTTGAACAACTTGTTACTCTGTATCTCACAGTGATTCAATGAAAACAAACCCACAAGACTCTCTGTGTGGGGCTGGAGCAATAGCACAGCGGGTAGAGCATTTGCCTTGCATGTGGCCAACCCAGGTTTGATTCCCAGCATCCCAGATGGTCCTCTGAGCACTGCCAGGGTAATTCCTGAGTGCAGAGCCAGGAATAACCCCTGTGCTTCGCCAGGTGTGACCCAAAAAGCAAAAGCAAAAACAAACAAGACTCTCTGTGAAGGGGGAAAAGGCAGCATGGGGGTTAGAGCTCCTGCCCGGCGTGTGGACAGCCCCTACTGGAGTCTCAGCATGGCTAGGGCGGGCTGGGGGTCCCAAGCACGGCACAGGGTCAGGTCACGGCACCTGGCCAGCACCACATCTTGTTACCTCACTGAAACCCTGGCCCGCTGGTTGAAAATCACCAGGAATGAGCCCAGAGCCCCGGAGCTCCGTGGAAGGAGGCCACTCTCCAAAGAGAAAAAAACCACAAGACAGCTAAAAGCAGGAGGGAAAGAAGCGAATGCAAAAGAATCCAAGCTGTGGGTTTCTGGACATAAACAGAGGAGGAGGAAGAGGAAGAGGGCGGAAAGCAACACAGCCCTGGGACAGACAGAGCGAGGAGATGAGGAGTCAGCCCCAGTCCAGGGCACGGAGACTAGTCATACAGCGAGCACGGATGCTGACGGCTCACTTCCATTCACTCCGAGTGGCATTTAATTGTAAGTGTATTTACAGTGGCTGACAGTTTATCCAAGCATTAAGAGGCGATATTGAATTTTCATAGGCTAATCAGCACCTGACAATTTATTACTTGTAACGAAATCGCCAACTTCACATTTACATGAAAATGACTTAATCAATTTCTCAGTAGACCGGGGGAAAATAGTGTTATCTAGAATTGGATTTCTCTATAGACATACTGATTGAATTCCTCTGTGTCAAATATAACAAAATCAAGAGGCAATTGAGACTGAGAAGGAGGGAGAGAAAGAGAGACAAGGGGGAGAGAGAGTGAAAGAGGGGAGGAGAAGGAGGGACAGAGGGAGAGAGGGGGGATTATATGGTATCTACATTATCACCAGTAGTACTGTCCTCACGTTGTTCATCAATTTGTTCGAGCAGGTCCAGTAATGTCTCCATCGTGAGACTTGTTGTTACTGTGTTTGGCATATTGAATATGTCATGGGTAGCTTGCCAGGCTTTGCCGTGCGGGTGAGATACTCTCGGTAGCCTGCCGGTCTCTCCGAGAGGGGCGGAGGAATCAAATTCGGGTCGGCTGAGTGGGCCACATGCAAGGCAAACGCCCTACCCGCTGTGCTATCGCTCCAGCCCATTATCACCAGTATTGAAAGAAATATCACAGAGAACTAAGGTTAGAATCCCAGCAACTCAATGTCCCATGCTGTTTGTCATCTGAGTCCTATATTTCTATGCACGCACCTTTTTTTTTCAAATCAGTGTAAAAATGATTTACTTCGCAGAGACTTCCTGATAATTTAGAGGAAGGACTGTTATCTTTCATGCAAATAGATAAACTTTCCCTACATAGCCGCATCTCATGTCCTGTTTTCTGAGAGTAGATAAAAGCATATTTAGAAGCGATTTGCATAACCAGCTGTTCCCGCAAGATTTCCCCTGCAATCAGGACCTCTGGGTTTAATGTCAGTGGGTGTTGGTGTCTAACCTCAAGACATTAACTTTCAATTATACAATGATCAAATACCCATCCCCCCACCAGTGTCCATTTCCCACCACTACGGATCCCAATATCCCTCCCACCCCCCATCCTCCCCATCCCACCCTGCCTCTGTAGCAGGGCATTCCCTTTTGTTCTTTCTCTCCTTTTGGGTGTTGTGGTTTGCAAAAGAGGCATTGAGTGGCAATCTCTTCCAAAAGCAAAACTAAAACTCAATAAAGGGGTATAACCATCCAAATATTTAAGGGAAAAAAAAGACATTAACTTTCACTTAGCAGCACTGAAATTTGAATCTGAATGTGCTTCCAAAACGGAGGTAGAAGCAGAAACTTGGACTTGGAAATCCCCCCGAAGTGAGCTGTCCGCTGGAAGGAATGACCAGCCCATTGTCTGCCACGTTTGCAGCTTGGAGGCCACCCCTTGCAGCGAGATAAACACAGAGCAAAGGCGCTGTAGAGGGTGCTTACGTAGATCTGGTTGTTCCCAAAGCGCTTCTGGATCTCGTAGAGCAGGCTGGCATCCGTCAGCTCGCTGAGGGTGGCCAGGTTGTCGTTGGGAGCGGGAGGCATCAGCTTGGCCTGGGAGGAAACAAGAGATTGACTCAAATTGCTTTTTCCACCAGCTCTCCTCACCCTCCTGTGCTGCTGCCAGTGGCCTATTACAGGGCTGAAGGCCACAGGGCGAAGAGTCTCAGTAGGAGACGGCGCCCACTCACGAAGTCACCAGTCACAGAAGCGATTCAGATGGCCACTTCTGTCTGCAAGCCAGGATGGTGCACACAACATTCACACTCACACTGTTACACACGTGCGTGCACACACACAGACACACACATGCACACACTGACATAGACACACACACACACACACATACACAAGTTGATCCCAATCATTCCAGCATTAGACGCTGAGCCCCACTCATGCAGGTCTGCACTGAGCTGTGCTTCTTAAGACAAGCTTCAGAGAAGCTTGTGTGTTTGCAGTTCCTGAGGCTAAGGCCAGACTTCTCATCTGATGCTGGCATGGGAAGAGAGCTGTGCCCTGAGCTTAGTGTCTGCATCCAGGAAAGGGAGAGCACATTTAAAGGGAGTCTCCAGAACTAGGGTTGGAGAGTTTTTGTTTGTGTTGTTTTTGTTTTTGGACTAGACCTGGTGGTGGTGATCAGGGCTCATTCTGGCTCTGTGCTCAGAGCTGACTCCTGGTTCTGAGCTCATTGTTCACTCCCAGCTTTGTGCTCAGGGCTGACTCTCAGCTCTTCGCTCAGGGCTCACTCCTGGCTCTGGGCTTGGGGCTCACTCCCAGCTCTGTGCTCAGGGCTGACTCCTGGCTCGGTGCTCAGGGATGACCCCTGGCTCTTTGCTCAGGGTTGACTCCTTCTCTGCGCTCAGGGATTATTCCTGGCTCTGTGCGCAGAGATGACTCTGAGGAAGCCAGGAATCAAACTTGGGTCCGGGCTGCTGCCGAAAGGAAAGACATATGTGGGGCCAAGGTGTGTCTAACAGAATGGCCCAAACATCCAAGATCCAATTAGAATCCCTCCTCCCCACCTGAATGGAGACAGGGCGGGGCTGGAGGCTTTAGGCACAGAACCCTTCCGGTATCAGGGCGGTAAATCATGGTACCTAAAATAATTTTTAAAAATAAAAAAAAAACCCACTCTTAATCTATTTAATAATTAGTGATAGTGCAAACTCCACAAATTTGGATTATTTCACTAGATAAAAGCCTATCACTTGCAAATTGGAAAAAGGTGATTTTTAATTAACTAAACAGGATACGGTCAATGCAACAGCTCTGGTGGGTGTATGTGCACCACTGAGAGGCAAAGGACGAGAGGATTCTTATCAACTCAACAGTAAATTTCTGGGATCAGAAAATCTATTTGTATTATCTGGATTAGTGTTACTTATCTTGCCTGCACGGCAAAGCCTGGCAAACTCCCCGTGATATATTCAATATGCCAAACACAGTAACAACAAATCTCAAAATGGAGACATTACTGGGCCCGCTCAAGCAAATATAAATACATTAAATTATATTTATGATTTTATTAATGTATTTTTAATGCATAGTATAATATTTTGTGTCCATGCAAAATGAACTGAATTTAAATATTATACTTTATCAGCTATATGTTAGTCGCCTGTGTTCGTGGGAGAGCTTCTCGTTGCTAAGCCAGGACCCAAGGAGAAAGGTGAGCGTGATACAATTGGATTCCCCTCAGAGCAAGGTCTGGGAGGCATGTGAGGAGAGGGCCAGATGGACACAGATGTCCTGAGAGACGGGAGCAGTTCTGCTCAGCTGTGCCTGTAATGTGCCTTTGCTCTGTTACTTAGGACTACTATGGATAAGGGTCAAGCTGACTTATACTGCTGGACAACAAAACTATAAGCCAAAATGTTCAATCTCAGAGGTAAAAGAAATTTAGAAATAGGTTCCAATGGTTAAGTATATTTTCTGTAAGGGAAAGATCACTGGGAAATGTCTGTATAGAGAGATGTACAAAAAGGGAGCTTTCATCCAGTTCAAGGATGATAGCTGTAAATGAACTTCCTTTCTTTCTAATGCTATTAAAGCATTACTTAAACATATAAAAACTCATGCACAGACATGCCTCCCCTGAAAGTAAATATATGTGTTTAGACACACACTACTATTCGTGTGTAGATATGCACATATGAGAATGAGTGATCCCTGAGTACAGACAGACACTCACGGAGCTCCAGGTGACACGAGCCAGAGGATCTGAGGCCCCGAATTCTAATGATGCAAGAAGTAAAACAAACGTTTTCAGCAAATTATCATACAAATCTCCCAAAACACTCATCTCCAATGGGGAAACTCAAGGACACGACATCTCTTTCTTCCAAAGTAATGAGTTGCACAAAGATAATTTAATTCCTCATAACCACAAGTCTGAGTAGTCATTGTGAATTCTTAAGAGCATATCTGAAAGGTCACGAATAGCATGGACCAAAGATGCACATTTGTCCCTGCAAGCCCGTGACAGTGGCTGCTCCTGAGTGCTCATCTGCAGCTGCCCAGCGGCACGGGGTAGGGAGAATATTGGGCTGGCAGTAAAAACGGGGAGACGGCAAAGAATTCGCAGTCACGAGCTGTGGCGAGTGAAGCGCTAGACATCGCGGCAAGAATCCCTGCCTCACTGATGGGGAAGGCAGCGCTGAGAAGCCACTTAGCAAAGGGATCAGAAAGACCCATCAGTACCAGGACTGCGGAAGTATGTGATGCCCGTGACGAGTAGATGGGAGACAGGAAGCGAAGGCTTGTGCACGGCTTTATGCTCTGGAAGCAGTGTTCTCATAAATACAGCACAGATAGGCAGCTCGGGGGACCCATCTCAACACCACAGCTACTTTCGTGTGTTTGTGCTTTGGACCAGCACCTAGCTGTACTCAGAGCTTAGTCTCAGTCCAGGGCTGACTCCTGGCTCTCTGCTTGGAGCTGATTCCTGACTCCATGCTCAGGGCTCATTCCTGGCTCTGTGCTCAGGGCTCACTCCTGGCTCTGTGTTCAAGGCTGACTCCTGGTCTGTGCTCAGAGCTCACTCCTGGCTCTATGTAAGGAATCACTCCCGGCTCTGTGTTTGAGGCTAACTCCCAGCTCTGTGCTCAGGGTTGACTCCTGGCTCTGTGCTCAGGGCTGACTCCTGGCTCTGTTCTTGGGGCTCACTCGTGGCTCTGTGCTCAGGGCTCACTCCTGGCTCTGTGCTTAGGGCTCACTCCTAACTCTGTGCTTAAGGCTGACTCCTGACTCTGTGCTCAGGGCTGACTCCTGGCAGGGGCACTGGGGATGGAACGCAGGTTGGTTGCGTGCAAGCCAAGTGCCCTCCCCCCATCCTCTTGCTTTGGGCCAAAATTGACTGCTTTCAGGGACTGGCCAGGTGGGTTTTAGGAAAATGTATCACTGCGGGTATTGATCCACAACACATCAGGGCAGAGCGAGAACACAGCAGAACAGCCACCAGGTGGAAGGTCGGGGTGAACTGAGTGGGTTCACTGACGGTCTGAGATGAGCTCAAGTCACGGAAGGCGTCCTCTGTCAGTGCGGCCTGACAGCACCCCCTGCCTCGTCCTGTCTTATTAGGGACCCTCCCAACCGCACCCCAGGACATGGGTCATGTGTGTCCAGGATGAAAGCAGAGGCTCTCCAGGAGGGGCAGGTGGCAAGGTCTGTCCCCAGCCATCAGCCTGCATCCTGCAGCTCATGGCCTGGCCCTCGTGCCAATCTGTTGGAAGCTCCTGGGGCACCGTCGCCTTGTCCCTGGATTTAGCTGCGGGTGCTGTGACAGAGCATGCCAGATGGGGCTGCGGACATCTGCCCTCTGCCAGGCATCACCACGGTCACGGAGGCCGAGGAGCAGCGGGCAGCTGTGGGCACTAGAGATCCCGAACCACGGAGGATAGACCCTTGGCACTGTGAGGGGCACGGTCTGAATCCAAATAAGTGTCTGTCTGGTGAGGAAAGGCAGGAGCCGCGGCTGAAGAGGACAGTCACCAAAACTGGTGACTGTTTGACTGCTCCTACGATGATCCCCCTTTGACCTCTGCAGGTGAAAACCGGCTGGTGTCCTGGGGCAGCCTGGATTGAGGGTGGGCACGGCGGCCAGCAGGGGCTTCAACATGCGGACAGAACCGGGCACACTGCTGGCCCACGTGAGCATGACAGGAGAGGTCCTGGCTGAGTCTCCTGGTACCTACCAAGTGGAACCATGGGTAGAGCTGTGACCTTTGTCCCCTTTGCCACACCCTCATGGGGCCAGCACCCTGCCCATTTCCCAGACGAGCTCCTGGCAGGGGGACCTCTCGGGCAGGGCTCCAGGGTCCAGCAGAACAGGGGAGACACCCCCCACCCCCGCTTCTATCCCCAGGGCTCAAACATCTCGCAGACTAGAATTAAAAGCTCTGGGTTTCGGACTTGACTTAAATTTGGATACATACTCAAAGGAAAGATGAGATGGAGGAAGGGGGGAGGAAAGAAAGAAGGAAAGCAGGATGGTGGGAGAGAATGGGGCAGGCAGAGAAAGACCAAACACTGTGCGGTTTATTCAGGGGCAGGAGATAAAAGATCATTGGGGGACGGGAGGATACTGGGACCCGTGGTGGTGGAAAATGGGCACCGGGGGAGGGATGGGTGTTTGATCATTGTACAATTGAAACCCAAGCACAAAATCTGTAAATCTACAACTGTATCTCATGGTGTTTCACTAACAAATTTTTTTTTTAAATGTAAATGATGGAGAATCGGCACTGGCGGAGGGATGGGTGTTGGATCATTGTATAACTGAAACCCAAGCACAAAAATTTGTAAGTCTACAACTGTACCTCATGGTGTTTCACTAATAAAAATTTAAAAACAAAACAAAAAGATCATGGGGGGAAGCAACTGAAACAAAACATAAAGAAACTCCTAGAAGCATGAGGGGGGAGGAAGAGGCTGTCCATTCATGCTTGGAGGGATGAAAAGCAGAGAAGCATGTTGCCATGTGGCCAGCTGACACTGGGTCAGCTCTAACAATGACCTGCAGGGAGTGAAAGCGGGTGGGAGACTAGAGGACAATGAGCCAGGGCAGGAGAGAGGAGAAACGAGGTGTGTGGGAGAGGCTTAAAATATCCTGCGTGATGAGAGTAGACTATAGTCCCAACAAGACTGCCACTCAATGCCTCTTTTGCAAACCACAGAACTCAAAAGGAGAGAGAGAACAAAAGGGAGTGCCCTGCCACAGAGGCAGGGTGGGATGGGGGGGATTGGGGGTGGGAGGGCTACTGGGATCATTGGTGGTGGAGAACGGGAACTGGTGGAGGGATGGGTACTAGATCAGTGTATAACTGAAACCCAAGCACGAAAATTTGTAAGTCTACAACTGTACCTCATAGTAGTGTTTCACTAATAAAAATTTAAGGAAAAAAATAATGGTTGGTAAGAAATAAGTAAATAAAAATAATGGTTCAAATGTGTTATTAAAAAAATATTCTGCATTCCCAGTGATATTATGAGCGTGTTCATACCGATGAGTTCCAACCCTAAAGCGTTAAAGCAAACCACACAGACTCAAGCACACAGTGACCACAGAAGAAGACCTGCATTTTTTACAAATGCGAGATGGTGTGAACGGCCACTGTGTGGGGAGGTCACTGGTGCACCACAGCCATGGCCTTGTCAGTGTGACCGGCTCCTGGGGAGATAATGAACGTGCCGGCATCAAACCGCCTCATCTCCAAGACCAGGTCCCTGGAAGCTCAGGGCAGCGGCTTCTCCACGTTGACACAGAGGGAGAAGCCAGCAATCTTTGGAGGAGAGAGTCATGCCAACCTGGCCCTGCCAACACGTCTCCGCTGTTTCCCTGGGGCATTTGGCTTGCAGTGAGCTGTGAGGTGCACACGGGCGCTCCCAGGCTGCCACCTCCTCAGACGGGCCCTTCGTCCCGGAGGACGAACCACAGTGGCGCCTGCACCCAGGTCGACAGAGAGTGACTCTGGCTGGCGTTTGTCCTCGTGTTGGGTGTCTGCCCCGACCTACCTCCCACCGCCCTGCAAAGGCTCGTGCCACCCTGGGCTCATTCCGGCCACTCCACGGTTGCTTCTCTGCTCTTCCCACCCAGCCTGGTGGCTGGCAGCAGCAGAAGCCCAGGGCGAGGCTCTACTGTGACCCAGAAACATGGACCAGGTGGCAGACAGAATAAGAGACACTTAAAGCTGAGTAAGAAATTTGCTTAGGGGCCAGAGACAAAGTATGAGGGTTAAGGCGACTGACTTGGACTCAGCTGACCTAGGATTGACCCTCCGCCCCATGTGATTCCCCAGAGCACTGCCAGGAGTGATTCCTGAGCACTGCCAGGAGTGATCCCTGAGCACAGATCCAGGAGTCATCCCAAGCACTTCCAGGAATGATTCCCAAGCACTGCCAGGAGTGAGCACTGAGCACTGAGTCAGGAATGAATCCTGAGCACAGCTAGAGGCAGCCCCCAAACAAACAAACAAATAAACAAACAAACCGGACTAAAGTTGACATAACATTCTAGTAACCGGTGGCCCGGCTGGACCATGTCATGGTGCCATGCCCACAGCACCACCGCATCTGGGAAATTTGGAAATAGGAGCAGAGATGAGGGGTGGGGCTAGATTCACTGGGACCAAGGATTGGGGTCCACAGGGGACACAGGAAGTGTGCTCTCTCCCCTCTCCCTACCAGGGAAGGGTGCCATATACGTGACTTCCATCCCAACTGGAATCAGCAGCAAGTGCTCAGTCTTGAACTCCAGCTTCCGGAAGTGTGGGAAGCAATGCCTGGTGTTCAAGTCTCTGCCACCCGCCCTTGCCCCAGTTCTATGGGTATTTTCTTAAGGCAGCCTGAGCTCACTAACACGCCCACAAAAATGTAACAGCATTTCAAACTTTTGCTATTTGGGTTTTTTTTAGAACAACCCAATTTAAAAGGGTTTTTTTTTTAAATTATATATATATATATATATATATTTTGAAGACAGTCTTTAGAAAATCTAGCTAAAGGTGCTAAAAACATTTAAAATCCCATACACTGAAACAAGGCATTTGCAAGTACGACACTGACATTTGTAAAATTGCTTCTCTGCCAGCTGTAAAACATGAAGCGTAAAATCATTTATTTCTTTGGGATTCACAGAACATATACTCATTTCTAATAGTTTCGAGTTAGTTCACGTGATTTTCCATAAATTGGATGTTGGGACACAGGTATATTCACATAAAGCACACTCACACACGCAATCATGGATACACACCACACACACACACACACACACACAGAGAAAACATCAGAGTTACTTTAGGGGCAGTCCTGGCTAGCTCTACCACTCATATCCCCTTACCAGTTGCTTTCAAGGATAAATGACTCAGCAATTGGTTTATCTTCCTTCAACATACACGAAATATTTAGATATTGAAGAAAATGAGAAATACAAACTACATAATAACCATGATGGTGACTAAGATGTTATTGGAAATATTCAGGGCTTAGCGTCTTGGCCAAGCTTGCACTCCTGCTACACCAGGTGTAAGGTCCTTCTGAAGCACAATAGCACTTAGGTTTGTTCCTAGTAGGTGTAAAATATAACTTAAAATGTGAATTTTAGACCAAACGGGCTTCTGCTCACTCTTCTCTGAAGGGACTCAGCGAGTCTGCTTTGAAAAGGCTGAGTGTGTGTGTGTGTGTGTGTGTGTGTGTGTGTATGTGTGTGTGTGTGTTGAGGGGGAGAGGGGGCATGGAGTCGCTGTGTTACCTGCTCAGGTGTGCTGGGGACTGTCGCCGTGGTGATGTCGGGAGCACTGCCCTGAGCCGGCCGGCTGCAGACACCTTTTGTTGCATCTTTGAACATAATGTCTTTCTCCAGCAAACTGTCCTGCTTGGCAATGGGCAGCACCAGGGGGCTCCTGAGGAAAGGATAAACACGTGAGTGAGTCCTCGTCAGGGCTGGAGTGATAGCACAGTGGTAGGGCATTTGCCTTGTGCGCAGCCAGCCTGGTGCAGTCGAGCCGGGTTCAATTCCCCCGCCCTTCTTGGAGAGCCCAGCAAGCTACTGAGAATATCTTGCCTGCACGGCAAAGCCTGGCAAGCTACCCGTGATATATTAAATATGCCAAACACAGTAACAACAAGTCTCACGATGGAGACGTTACTGGGCCAGCTCGAGCAAATTGATGAATGACGGGAGGACAGTGTTTGTTTTGTTTGTTTGAGTTCTCGTGCACTGGGGCCGAGCACCAGGCTGCTGGAGAGGGCAAGAGTGGTGGAAGAGGAACAAATCACTTTCCCAGCACTGCAGGGTGGAGATGCTCAGGCAGGACATTTGTAAACTTTCCTATCAACTCGGAATTTCATCCCATTTCACGTTGCAAAGAAAAATAGCTTTATTTCAACTTGTGAAGAAAATGCTAATACATGTCTATTACAGTGGATGGATACCTACACATCAATAAGCCATTTAAAAGCTTAGGTTGCAGTACAATTAAACTAAGATGCTCACATATGGAAGGGAATTGCAGACAACTGAACGCAGAATGACTCTTGATTAATTAAAACACTGTTCACCTGGGATTTAAATATGTAGTAGAATCACCACCAATATTTTGAGTTTTAATATGAGGGAATTTGAGATGAATGAAGTGAGGGCTTAAGAAAGACAATATGATAAACAGAATATGAATCTTTCCTTCTCTACAGCTAAAACTAGGAGCACATGCCATAAAACATACTCCACATTTGTTTTTTTGTACAGACATTGTCAACAGAAATCATTGATTTAACTGTTCCTAATAAAATAAATGTCATAAATATTGGGTTCTTTGTAGTAATTTTGTAGTAAGATAATTTAAAATGTAATTACTTAGATGTTACTTTACAAGTATAAATATGCATAGTTGATCAAGTTATATATATATATGTGTGTGTGTGTAATTATTTCGCTTCGTCTACAACAGCAGTTGTGGTTGCAATGAAAGCCCAGTAGAATCTTATGTTTTTAAAAACTTCTGGTTAATCAAGGCACATTATTTTCATATAGTGAAAATGCATTTTGGGGGGCTGGAGTGATAGCACAGCGGGTAGGGCATTTGCCTTGCACATGGCTGACCCGGGTTCGATTCCCAGCATCCCATATGGTCCCCTGAGCACTGCCAGGAGTAATTCCTGAGCGCAAAGACAGGAGTAACCCCTGAGCATCGCCACGTATGACCCAAAAAGCAAAAAAAAAAAAGAAAGAAAGAATGAAAGAAAATGCATTTTGTAGGTATGCCCAATGAGTATGACTCACATATACATAATTATATGTACATTGTATAGAAATATATATATATATAACATATATCTGAGTAAGCAGTGCACCCAGCCAGAAATGCAGAGAATTCTTACGGTCTCAAACTTCTCTTTGTGCTCCTCACTGTGGATAATTTACACCTTAACTCGTTTCTTCGACAAAGGATCACTTCTTTGCTCAAGTCTGATGCCAAATTGCTGGATTTTTTTCACTCTTTGTCCATTGTCATCAGATTACTGAGTTTGCATATTCCTGAATTTGGATTCATGCTCCTTACCAGATACACACTTGGAAAATATTTTCTCTTGCTCTATGTCTGTTTCTTCTTGAAACACGTAAAAAAGAATAGTTCCAAAGAATAGTTCCTCTCTTTGCTGGCTTGTGCTCCTTATGTCTCATCTAAGAATTCTTTCCCTACCCCAAGGTCAGCAAAGTTTTCTCTTAGGTTATATTCCAGAAGCATTAGCGTTTCATTTAGTAGATCTAGGACCCACCGTGAGTGACTTTTTTTTTGAATTTTCATACGGCGCTTTCTATGCTCATGTCAAGGTTCATTGTGCTTTCAAATGACCTTCCAAATGGCCCAACACTGTCTTTGAAAAGAACATCTTTTATCCCCATCCAATTACCTGGAGACCCCTTTGTTCAAAATCAACGGACTACAATGTGTGGGTCTATTTCGGGACTTTCCATTGTGCAGTCGAGAGAACAACCATTTCAATCCTTGGCTGGACTCCCTGATTAACGGCCCATCCCGCGAGGTCTGAATCAGGGAACGGGCCTCACCGACATTCGGGTTCCTCTGGCTAGGAACATTTTGTATACATTTCAGATTCTATCAACTCTATGAAGCATGCCTCCTCGGGTTGTTTTTAGCCTGGCAGTCAACTGATAAATCGATTTAGGAAGAATATATATGAACGAGGTTGATTTTCCTCATCTCCAAGCATGGCAAACTCCATCTATCCGGATCATTATTAACTTATCTCAGCGGGTTATAGTTTGGGATATTAACATTTTGCAAACAATTTGATGTATGGTGGGTTTCTAACATTCTCTGTGCCAGTTTCAGAGACTAGCACCTGTGTCTTGGCTGAACTGGGAAGAGAGTGATAGGAAGGGTTTGTCCGTGATGAGAGCCGGGCATCTCCGGGGCTGGTGCCTGCATCCTGGCTCTGTGGTGGAGGGTGACGGGAAGGGTTTGTCTGTGATAAGAGCTGGCATCTCTGCTCTGCAGCCTGTGTGTGTTCAGAAACATGGACAGAGTGAAACCAGGGCTTGGGTGGGGCGGGAAAGCCGAGGCAGCGGTATGCCCAGCCCTGTGCCAGCTGGTCAGCTGCGCCTTCCTTGTGCCCACTGCTGTGTTCTGAGTTTCCACGCAGATCAGACTGTGAAGGCACCTGACAGGAGCGCAGCCTGGCCAGAAACGCTTTCATGGCGCGAGGGCGAGTGCTGTCACACAGATGCTCCTGGCCGTCCGCAGTCAGACCCGTCTGAGGGGCTGGCACTGCCACCTGCCATTTCGCTCGACCATCCCTCAGAGCCTCAGAGTAATGGTCAGGCAGTAGGCGGGCCACTGGGTGGTATCTGCAGGCTGTGTTCAGAGCTCTGTGGAGCTGGGGTTCCCCCTGATTACGAGGAATGAGGGTGCCCCACTACATGTCTGTAGCTCAGCAGAAAGGAGACTTCGGACAAAGGCTGCTATCCCTTCACTCGTATCACTTGTCATCCCATTAATCTGCGATTTGCTTGAGCAAATAGAAGCAACGTCTCCATTTGTCCCTGTCGCATGCTAGTGTAGCCCAATGGTGTCTGCTCGCTACAGGAACACAAAGACCTTCAAACCGATCATTCAAGGTCTTGAAGAAGAAGTCTGACCATCTCGTAGGTGGGCGACCATGCAATATTTTGACATCCCGTGGTAATGGCTCTAGTTCAGCGGTCATCTCTAAATTGCATTACGTGTCCAGCCCATCTGATTTTCAACGCCTTGGAAATGAGACAACGTCCCTGATTCTTGATCATCAAGGAGGTCGGAACTCTGGATTCCTACTCTCACTTGAGTGAAATGTGATACTCCAAGCATAGCTCTTTTGATTCATCTTTGGGAGACCTGAATAGAGTTCTCATCCCAGATCTCTGAGGCATATGTTAGTGCAAAAGACTGCTATCAGTCACACAGAGGCACCCAAAAGCTTTCTGTGAAGTGGGCAGAGCATCCCGTGGCCCCCCTGAGGAGCTCCACACTGAGTGTTCAGTGAGAGCAGCCATGTGGGCCAGGAGCCGGGGTTGGGCGACAAGAAGGTGCCTGTCAATGCCCACCCTGGGCGAGAGGGAGGAGGATGCTTGGGCCACCCTCGTCCCAGGGACCCTCACTCACTGGCAAGTGCCCTGGGGAAGAGGGCAGCTGATGAGGCGGGGGACATGTGCCTCTAGACGGGTTTCAGCAGCGTCTCATGGTTCAGCGGGCTCAACTCCACGGCAAGTTTCTTTCTTTTGTGACAGCTCTGGAAGGATGCCCAGCCCCCGCTGACGCCAGCTCATCCCCTGGGGCTCCCAGGAGGACCCTGGGCCAAGTACCGGGTGTGAGTGTTCACTGGACACTGAGGTTAGAAAGCACTTAATATGAAGGTACATTCCAAGCACCAAGGCCTCTGTCCTAAGGTTCCACACATACTGACCCTCTGTCCTTACTACTCAGGCACCTTGATGGCTGAGACCAATGTCTTGTTTTGGGCAGAAGCCACAATTGGCAGTGCTCAGGGCTTACTCCTAACTCGGTGCTCAGGAATTGCTCCAAGTCCCTTAGTCCCTGTGCTGTCTCCGGCTCCCATCCCCTAACCCCCCTGTGCATCCCATCTCTGCCCCTTGGACATGTATGCCTCATTCTCATCTGGCACCCTTGCACCCTAATGCCTTTGCAGAGGCTGGAACATCTAAGAGACAGAGGGGCAGTTCCAGGCCTCCGCCTGAGGCAGTAGGAGGCTCACTGTCCTGCTGAGAGATTCATGAATAAACCATCTCGCCACAGGCGCCTGGTGCTGACACTCTGCTGGCTCAGCTGGGCCCAGCCCGAAGAACCGCTCTGGTTTGTCTTCTCTGGGTTCAGCCGCTCGCCCTGGCAATGGCCAAGAGAGTCAGCATTGCCTTTCTAAGTGCATCTAAATGGCGCTCATCTAAATGGTGCTCATATTTTCCTCTACTTTAATGAGTGACTACACACATTATAAATTTTCACACACTATAAATTTTTCTGCACCTTCCAAATTTTCTTTAATGAGAGCATATTAATTTGATTATAAAAAGGAAATTATTAGAAACACAAATTTATCAGTGGAAAATAGAATGAAGGAGATTGGAACAGCTGTTTTCAAACATAGGCTGCCAACATGAATTCCATCAACAAAAAGGAAGTGAACTCACTTGCAGATGAAGCACTGAAGACTAATAACACAGGGGAGAGAGCTTGAACTCAACCTGGGAAAGAGATTCGGTGGATTTGACCAATAGTCAGCAAATCCCTAAACTCTGATGAGTTTATCCAAGACTTTCTTGTTTCTATAAACATAAAAAGCACTTAATGCAGAGCAAAATGTCTATAGGAATTGGGATTTTCTG